TGTTATTTTTATGAATGATGAAAAAAAAATCTTGCAAATTAAATTTCTTTGTAACAAAATTTTGCTCAATCATTTTAAAAGTATAATGATTTAGTCATGTAATAAAAAGTAAAACGGCGTTCCATACCAGCAGAGCTTGGCCGCACCCAAGGTATGACGCGTATAAGCGAAAATTTAAACTTGAAGCGGGGAATCTGTAGGCGATGCCTGTGGCGATGCGTCGAGACAAGAAATCACCGATCGGCCGGCCGTCTGCATCAGTGTAATGAGCTACGCGAGCGGTTCAACTGAAAGCGGCGTTTTGACGATGGGATTACCAGATGTCGTAGGTCCTGAATTAGTTCGTGATTTTCGGTGTATATGCGGATGGCATACTCAAAGGTTCCATGAATGAAATTCAAATAATAGTGGCATAACAGTAGGATAATGAGCGATGAATTATGAAAACAGTTTCGGAAAATAATTTTATTCATCAAATAGTTCAGTAATTTTCCCCAAATTATTTGGTACGGCCCGGCCGACCCTGCCGTCCCTGACGAGCCGTCACTGAATTAGAGTGTCAAAAATAGGCATAAATACGTATTCAGAATGAAATAATAAATAATCATATAAAAAACTTGAAATTACATTATATTCATCAACTCACTGCGAGCGTGCGTTTGTAAAACATTTCCACACTAATGCGTTTTACTTTACAATTCTCTGTTACAATATTGAAATGTGCTACTTTCCAAATAACATAACAGTGTGGTAATAGGTACCTATCCGCTGTTTTCATAGATGGTCGTAAGAAAAAGTATTATCGGTCGATGATTTGAACTGAAAGTCACCTTTATATGTATATGTGTATTGTTCATTCTACTTTTTTTGTTTATCGATAGAATGTTTATCTTACTTACCGCGCATATATTATATTATGTTCATACCATCCACGTACAGGACTTCATCCCTTTGTGGATACCTATTTATTCACTTGTTATTTATGTATATACCCTTGTTACCCATTGTGTATTTTCTTTACTTAGGTGAATAAATTATTAGTATTATTATTATTATGAAATTTGAAATTATCCAAATTCCAGTCACGACTCTGCGGCCTCCAACGCAGAGTCGAGCTTTAGGGTGACCAGTGACCACTCCACACATCCGTTATTATTATTATTATTATTATTATTATTATTATTATTATTATTATTATTATTATTATTATTAGTACCTCTCTACCTACAGCGATTTTGTCACAAGAACACGTGTTGGCGGCTTGGTTTCGAACAAAGAATATGTCATACACCCGACGAGTAGAGATGAAAATAAATACCTATTAGGTAGGTAGGTATAATACCTAAATAATACTACATTTCAATCTCTTCAAATGCCTTACACAAATTTGGTGTTGTGTTTAGTATACATGTAATAGTCAGAAAATGTACAACCATGGTTTATACAATATACTAACATCCTGGAAGCCGATATCGAATAAAGTAATTCAGAATGTTTTTTTTTGGAAAGGAATATTCTCAGATATATTATGAACATGAAGAAAATATAAAACTTATCAAGAAAAATATTGAGAATTTGCATTCTCTATCTAGTGAAAATATGAATTCTTTATCGGTAGGTATATTCAACAGAAAACAACTACTTTCCCGGCTAATGCCAACGATGAACATTGAATTACATCTATTGAACACACACGAAAAAATAATTTGAAAATTAAAATCTTCTGAAATTGAGAATTTCCATTCTCTTTCTAAAAACCTCTAATCACAGATTCGTGATTGGGTTTTATATATGATGAACATCAGTTCATCGTATAAATGAAAAATAATTCAGAATGAGTTTATAGCCAATACAAAATAAATATGCGAATAGGTATAGGTGCAATCCTTTTGTTTCTTCCCATTCGATCGGAGCCGCTGATCGTACGGTCGGTTCTGCCTTCTGCAATGTCTATACAGGGTGTGTCATTATTGTTGGATGAAACTTCAAGATCAGATTTTATGGGCCAAAATATGAACAAAGTTCGTATGAATATAATTTCTGGAAATGATTCGTTCCGAGATAGGTACCTACAGGGTGTACAATTTTTTTCTGAACTTCAACCGATTTCATTTACGATAAGTGGGTTCTTGTTTTGCCATAATTATCCGATTGATTTCTAGAGTATTTTTCTCTCTCAACAGCCATGCATAGGTTTGGTTTCCATTTTTTTCCTCGAGAATTAAGCTAGTATAACTCTATTTATATTTCGACTCAACAAATCTGACCTCGAAATTTCGTGCAACAATAATGAACACCCTGTATAAGCAGCGACAGGACATCGCGCCAGTTTCCAGTTCTTCCTTTAGTAACAACAAATAAAAGCTTGTTTTGATTTTTTTTTTGTTTATTCATTCAACTTGTTTATTCATGCAACATACAAGACACTAGGACAAGTGAAACTAAAAAAAAAAATCTCCGACCCCAAAACCCTCCACATATATACATAACAATTTTGAATAGAATTGGACCATAATCACAAAACTTGTCCGCCACTTATTTGGAGCCGCCATGTTGAATTTTCGAACTTTGACAAAAAATTATAATCTCCGATTCCGAAAACCCCCAAAAACAAATTTTGAATAGTCATAATCACAAAACTGTTCCGCCATTTTTGAGCCGCCATGTTGAATTTTTAAATTTTGACAAAAAATCATAGGTAATCTCCGACTCCGAAAACCACTCTGCTCCGCCATTTTGGAGCAGTCATGTTGAATTTTTGAATTTTGACAATAAAATATAATCTCCGACTGCGAAAACAATCAGATACCGAATAGAATGGTCCCATTATCAAAAAAAACTCTTCCGCCATTTTTGAGCCGCCATGTTGAATTTTTGAATTTTGACAAAAAATCATAATCTCTGACTCCGAAAACACCAAGATACCGAATAGAATGGGCCCATTACCAAAAAACTCTTCCGCCATTTTTGAGCCGACATGTTGAATTTTTGAATTTTGACAAAAAATCATAATTTCTGACTCCGAAAACACCAAGATACCGAATAGAATGGGCCCATTACCAAAAAAACTCTTCCGCCATTTTTCAGCCGCCATGTTGAATTTTTGAATTTTGACAAAACATCATAATCTCCGACCCCGAAAACCCACAAATACAAATTTTGAATAGAATCGTACCATAATCACAAAACTATTCCGCCATGTTGAATTTTTTTATATTGACAGAAAATCATAATCTCCGAATCCGAAAAGCCTATATAGATACGTAGATACCTACAAATTTTTGATAGAATCGGACCATAATCACAATAAACTCGTCCGCCATTCTGGAGCCGTCATGTTGAATTTTCTAATTTTGACAAGAGAATCATAATCTCTGACTCCGTAAACCACCAGATACCAATTTTGAATACAATCGGTCCATAATCACAAAACTCGTACCTACACTATTTTGCCACCATTTTGATTTTTTCCATTTTTGACAAAAGAATCATGATCTCCGACCCCGAAAACCCCCAGATACCTACTAATTTTTAATCGAATCAGATCATAAGCACAAAACCAGTCCGCCATGGAGCCGCCATCTTGAATTTTTCAATTTTGACAAGAGAATCATAATCTCCGACCCCGAAAACCTAATTATTTCATAATGCATTGTCACCAAAATCATGTCCACCTGCCAAGTTTTTAATCAATCGGACGATCAGAAAGTGCGTCAAATTTAACTTGCAAGATTTGATGATGCTTGTAAAAAAAGACCACATGTAACATTTTTGCTTTGAATGAAATGCTTGATATTGATATCACTTGATACCTATTGAGTTTCCAACTATTCTCGTAGATAACAATTCAGTGCGAAATTCCCGCGTTCTGCCAAAGCCCTCATGATTTATCTCTGACAAAGATAATCGTGACGGCTCGGTTCTGGTTCTACCATCCCCTACTCTTTGGTTCTACGCTTCGCGATGTAAACATAAACATAGTTAGCAAAGTCAGGTCAGCCATTATCTGGATCGAGATCGAGACCTATAAATACTACATATTTTGCGCGGACGGTAAGAGCAAGCACACATCCAGAATTTCACTCCATATTTGAACCCAAGAATATAAACTATATTCATATTTGAACCTAAGAATATAAACTGTGTTATTTTTATATTCTATGATTGATCGATCAATTCTATTCCGATTCGATGCTAGTATTCCGACACCTATGGAGGACTTGCCCGAACTGACTAGAAAGAAGGAAACTACGAATACGTACTAGGGGTATATCGTGGCGCACTACCGTCTTGAAAATTCTCATATTTTAGTGCAAACGGCCATCTCACCGCCATCTAGACAAAAGTTTCAGAAGTAGGCAGTGAAACGGCGATCTTAAGAACTATATTTTTTGACGTTTGTAGAAAAAATGTTGTTTGCAACTCGAGCGCGAAATACTTTGGTCATCTCGACTATTTTTTTAACTCGGCTACGCCTCGTTAAAAAAATCAGGTCTCGATCACCAAAGTAGCATTTCGCGCTCTAGATACAAAAATAACTATTGATAGTCAGCAATTTCAGCAGAATGTTGTGTCGAAATATTTTGAATGAAGTATGTCTGCTCACAAACATCTGTCACTTTCAGTGATTTTTGTGAATCTTTTTATTTCGGAATGAAAAATCAGCATATTCAGTACTGTCAGTTGAATTCGGAATAAAGCCTAAGTCGAACTGATGCTCATGGAGCTTGCACATTTAGGACCTGTCATATTTCTGACATACTCTTACTCATGTTTCGGAACATCAGCATACATAGGTCGATGTCATGAAATGACAGTTTGGATCCCTCTACTCCATGCGCAGAAGAGTTTTCAGGCGAGCAATTTGATAAAGATTTTCGGGTTGTTTAAATATGACATATAGCGGTCCCTTCTGGATTTGATATCTATCCTTGCCAATTGAAAATGATCATTTAGAGAATCTTGCTGACAATACAAACATTATTTTTTTATTTTTTTAGATAATCCTATTCTATGTGATGCTGCTCTACCAGACATAATGTCAGTCATGGAAATCAACCACACGAGAATATATGGTGTATCTCATAACTGTCCTCCATTGAGTGAACAACCAACTACTTCCAAACCCAATGCTTTCTTTGGATACATTCCGGAATCGACACCATCACTACCAACTGTGATAGCTGTGGGTCACAATGTGGACTATCAAAATGAACAAAATCATGCCAATAATTCAGATCTGGAATTGGGGGTGCAAACACAATATGCAGTCAAAACAGATCAGGATGTTGTAGAAAATCAACCCATTGTTTTGAGTTTACAGAAACCACAAAATGGCGAAACAAAGACTAATGACAATGTGAAACAAATTCACGATTTGAACATAACTGTTGAAGCTGGAACGACAGCTAGGGCTGAAATATTTGATCCAGTACAACAGGGTAAACAAATAAACAAACTGGCTTCAGAGATTGAAGAATTGAGGTCTAGAATTGATGAATTATCATCTCAGAATAAACTACTACTGCAAACACAACTGAATAACAGTATTGTAAAGTCCGGTGATACTTTATCAGAACTTCGAAAGCCATGAAATAGTAATGAAAAAATAAGGGAAATTAGTTTTCAAAAAATAACTTTTTACTAGTCATCCAGAACCTACTTCTACTTAGTTAGGTTTAATGCTACTTCAGAATATTTTTACAGTGGACTAGAGTACAATTATCTATATTTTATAAATTTTTGAAGTTACAAAAGAGATGTGATAACATAACAGAAAATATCTTAATATTATTGCTAGCAGTATTGAAAATTCTAGCATTTGTAAAGCTGGCCATTTTTTATTAGGTACAAGGTGTCTCTGTATTTTGACCCGTACCTACAGCTTCAACTTTACGTGGTGGAAAAAAAACTTCAAATAAGAAAGTTTCGGAAGGTTTCATCTGTACTTTCTTTTGACACTTCTCAAATAAACCAATGCGAATCACAAAATAGATAAAAGAATCCTAATCATATTTTTCAGATGGTTCCCCCTGTATATTTTCAACTCTAGTGAAAGATATTTTCCTCGTGTTCACAAATATAAATACATTGCTTATGTTTCATCAAGCTGTTTTTCACTTATTCAGCATTGAATCAAAGTTGCAGATGAAATATACAGTGTGAGCGATTTCAACCCGCAACACCTTTCTAATTTGGTACCCGTCAACCGATTTTCAAAAGCAAAAATTCCATAATATAGTACACAACGGGCTCTACTCGAAAATGTGGACAAATCTGAAATATCCAGATTTTCAAGGCATACTTTTGTTTGTGGAAGAGGTCAAAGTTTCAAAAAAAAAACTATTAGGAATTTTTTTGAAACAATGACTAGCCTAATCGATTCAGACATAGTTAAAATGCCCCATAGAAAATTTGAACGCAATACCTCGTATGGGGTGTAATTCAATGGCTAAATTTTGATATTTTTGATTTTTCGATTCACCCTGTGTCACAATCTATGGAGTTGTTTTTCCCTGTATAATGATCAGGCCAATAGATGTTTTTCGGAAAATAATATCAGGCTGATTTAGCGAAACATAATTGGTCGAAATTTCATCGAAAGCGGAAGAGGATTACGAAAGTTACAAGGCGAACAATTTTGCTCAAAATTTCACTGTCCGGAATTTATTGTCGGGGAGTGTATATCCCCTTGCAGTCTTTGGAGAGTTGTTTGTTCCCTTCCATTTCGCCAAAGTCGGTATATTATTATTAATATGATCACATTAAGTATCAGTAAATCTCCTTGCAGTCTTTGGAGAGTGTTTGTCTGTCATTCTATTTGTGTTATATTCGACAAGTCTTTATCAATCGAGACGATTTTCAAAGTCACTGTACGTTTAAGTGTGTGAAAAATGGTTTACTCGAGTTTTCAAAATGGTGAACCTCAACTTTATTTTTATTGATTTTTGATTGACCTAGAGACATCTTCCTGTTCATTGAATGAACACCTCACCGGGTATATCAACTCCTTAGATTTTATCACAGGGTGAATCGAAAAATCAAGAATTTTGGAATTTGCACAAACACCCTATGTGATGTTGCGTTCGAATTTTGTATGGAGGTATTTCAGCTATGCCTGAGTCGAATAGGTTAGTCACTGCTTCGAAAAAAAAATGCCTAAGTCGTTTTTGAAATTTTAACCCTTTCATCAAACAAAAGTGGGCCATGACAATTTAAATATTTCACATTTGTCCATATTTCCGAATTGAATTCGTTGAGTACTATATTATGGAATTTTTGTTTCTGAAAATCGGTCGACGGGTTCCAAATTAGGAGGGTGTTGCGTGTTGAAATCGCACACACTGTAGATGGCTGTGGACACGACAGGAATGTCATGGACACAAAACAGACATTTTTTGACATCTGTCAGTTTTTCAATAAAAAATGATTATTCCGTAGAGGAAAAATATGAGATAGTAAGATTCCACTATGGTAAGATTATATTATGAAAATATTGCGAATATTTCAGTAGTGCAGAATTTTGTCGAAAACTGCATGAAGGAACATCAGCAAACTATATACAGGGTAACATTGAAATAAGTGCAAATATTTCAAACCTTGAGTAAGCTCGACGTATTCGCGAGATTCACGAAGTGGGCGACATCTAGGTTACATAATACGAACTTAAAAACTGGGGGAAAAAAACTGTTGTCTATAGATAAAGTGCATAGACTACATTGCATATATCTTGCTGTAGCTGTAGTTGTCAAACTTGTCAATGACATAAAGTGTTATCACTCTTATCAATACACAGTACACAAGCTAATGGCACTAATGGGATTGAGTGAGGATTGAGTTTGTTTTCCCCCAGTTTTGACGTGGCTTTGACATGGAACGATGAAAACCGAGCGCCACCTGGTAACATTGATTCCCGCGAATACTATCGAATGGCACCAATAAAAAAGTATGGGGAGCGAAATATAATTTGGGGTTAGACCCCTTTTTCCACCCAAAGTTCTTGTAATTGAAGCAATTCTGACGTTAACTCTGTATTTCCGTGCGGAAGGCACAATCACGGGGAGTTCAATCATTCAAATTGTTTTAATGTGGCGTACTTGATTTTTTTCTCGTTTTTCGTTCAATTTTCGAGATGAGATTTCTCGTTAATTAGAAGAATTAGAAAAAATGTGATATCATGGGAATATTCGTTAGACTGTATCATATCGATGAGCTGAATATATGTACTCATTTCAAAAACACCTTGTATATTTGTGAACAGAAGAAAAATAACTATAACAACAGTTGAAAATATACAGGGTGTTCCATTTAAAAAAACTGATTTGGACTCTTTCTTCATCATGTTGCGAGCCGCATTACAGATATAAGACCCTCCAACTTTCATATTTGAAGTTTTTTTTCACCTAGTATAGTTGCAGCTGTAGGTAGTGATCAAAATATAAGGAGACAGCCTTAATGCCTTAATGAGGATGCACTTTGCATTCCAAAACACAGTACAAGTATTTATTCATTCATAATCATGGTACAAACCATTGTATTGAGAGTTGACTGAGTTCCAGCAATAATAAAAATTGAATACCTATTGATTATAGAATTGCATATTTTTGGAAGATTTATATGGATCTGTGTGATAATTTTATAAAGAAAACTTTGAAAGAAATGAGAAATGTGCCATACATATTAGGATAACATTAGGTAGGTGAATAGACTAATTTATAGAGTAAAAAATAATAGGTATATTTAGGTATTAAACAGATAGTGAATGCTGTAAATATTTTTGGCTAAGCTAACTTTACAAAATCTAATGGTTATTGTATTAAAATGCTTCTATTTATACTGTTTAATCATGAAATATTAAAAAAATTGTTGATGTTTAGATAATAAATGATTCCCAAGAAATTAGATGAATATTTTAGTTTCTTATTAAACCCAGTTTAATCAATTGGAATAGAGTATTCATCAATACTAGTATTGTAGCAGTTGGGAGACATCTAATTTTTATATTTATCCACACAACAAAGAATGGTACCCAATATAACCAAGACTATTCCCAATATTGTACCTGAAATATAATTCAATTAATGTATTCTCCTCATCTGATATTAACTAATACCTATAGAGTTCCTTAATGTAGGTATTTGACGTATTTTCTACTGATGTTTTTTCATATTTAGAGTAGGGAGGAGACTGACAAGCACTATGACAGTTAGATACAACCACAAATAATTAAATGAAATTGAATATAAATCAGGTGAGCGTTGATGATAGAAAAAAATTCCAACACCTACCACCTCTCCCTGTCCTTCCTGGGAACGCGCGATGTTTCACGAACATTATAAGAATTTCCTTTCGTGCGCTCCAAGAGATAAAAAAAATATTTTGGGCATATTAATATGGGCGAGCTGAATGATGGCGAGAAGGAGCGTTTGTATGAACTTCTGCGGAAAATAGCGGTATGTTTTTCCATTTCAGATAATGAATTGTGTTTGACACATTTAGATGAAGATCGTTGATAAACCTGTATGTTATTGACCATATAGATGGTCTCATGCAGTAAGGGCGATTGTTCGAGGCAAGGTGAAACAACTGTTGGATGACAAAATTATCCGACATGGCGATCAGCTAATTAGATTGGCGGGGTAATGTTTCTGAACAACGTTGTATTTCGCGCATAGGGCCAGTGAACAAGTCCGAAGTTTGGAAATCCTTTGATCTCTGGAAATAACAGCCAGTGACCTCGAACCACCTGAACGCCTCCGCTATTATTCTGTAGATGGCGCTACGTAAAATTGTACTCAAGGTGTACTAGATCGTGTGCCTCTGTCGGGTCGTTATTGTGCGGGGCCCATGAGACTCCTCGAAGGACACGAAATTGTAGCGATGCAAGGAGGTGGAAGGAAGGGTCTAAAGGATTTTTCAGTAAAAAAACTTCCAACCGTGAGGTGTTAAGTTATACGCTATTCGAGCTTATGTGTAGAAATCTTGGGTGAGTCCATTTTAAAGTTTTTGTATTATCTTTCTGAAATTCAAGGCCAGGGTTAACTTCTTCCTCATGTACATTTTCTCGATTATACATTTTATTTAATATCTCCTAATTTTCATGTAGAGTGGCAACGTCGCTTCGTTCATCACGGTCGACTGCGGATCGCAAACGATAGTTGTGACAGAAGTAGAAATCTGGGCGGAAAAAGGGTATTTTGCCCCAAATCTATTTCGATCCTAATAATATTTTTAATAGTGCTATTCGGTAGTATACCTCAAGCTGTCTTAGTGTTTAAAATATATGCCCTTTTTTTAAATCAGCCTGTATATGAACGTTCTTTAATGATGTGAAAAAGTAGAACCTAACCAAACATTTGTACTGAGGGGCAAAAGTGACAAATTAATAAGGCGAAACGCTTGAAGAGGTACGACGCCAAGTACCTCTCAGGCGTGACAAGGCGAAACCTGACCAACGCGAGCAGAACAATGAAAACATGATTTGACCTGCAGGTGAAAGGTTGCAACCGACAATAATAATTGGTGCTTTGGTTGAAGACCGGCACTTGATTCACTCAGGCAATATACTGTGTAGTTCTGCTTGAGAGTGGAGAGAATATAATAAATCGCGTGCACGATGACCGACCCTGGAAGTAAAACATTGAAACAACCTCACTTTTCTGTAAAACATTGAAACACAACCTCACTATTCTTATTTGTTTACAAAGGAAATATTTGACCCACGAATGTTTTTTGCGCTATTCGTTAATTCAAGCAAATCACATTGTGCGGCTTTACAATGCACAAAAAATGCAGCGAGAGACGAAGTAATATGATTTTTCAGGTAAATAGTAATCTCACATAGTTTTCATTATGAAATTTTGTCATTTCTCATTAGAATTCCTTCTGCCACCTCTGCAATAGAAGCTAATACTCCTAACAGAGTGAAAATGTCTACAACACACACGATCATATTATGTCAGAATGTCAGACCAGTCCTCCCGTTCGATTGCATGAATCCAATCTTCTTGCCTTCTTTCAGAAACTTCACGAGTATTTCTATTAGCTCCTATTGGATGAGGAATTCCAATGAGAAATGTCAAAATTTCAAAATGAAAACTATATGTGTAACTTTTAGATCACAATAATGTACTTACCTACCTGAAAAATCGGATTCGTTCGTCTCTGGCCGCATTTTTTTGTAAATTGTATAACAGCACAATGTGATGGCATATTTGAATTATTAATGAATAGCCGAAATAATTGTGAAAAACTATTTCAATTCGTTGTGAACAAATATGAGAAGTGAGGTTGTGTTTCAATGTTTTACCTCCAGGGTCGGTCATCTGACAGAATCTTGTACGCCAATTGGATTTGAATAGCAAGTATGTAGAATGAGTATGAAATACTGAATCTTGTATGAATTATACTGAGTGATAATTGATGGCGAATATTTTTGGTGAATGTGGAATGGCGAACTGGAGAAATTTAACTATTGAGTTGGATCTCCATCAGGGGCGTTGCGATTAATGGCACAAGGACAACCCTTTACCTGGCGACAGTGGTCGAGCGAGACGTGGCAGCGCAAGTGTGACATATGTGAAATGCTGAACTCCGGCATTCTAACCGAGGCTTTGGCGAGAGACGTGTGAGATATAGAAACCTTGTAATTACTCAGGCGAATATACGGTGTTTTGCATTGAGAAAAGGCGTTTAAATAATTTAATGATGAAGATGGAAAGCCCTAATTTCGAGTGACAATGGAAAACGAAAAAACTCCACCGCCCCGTGTGAGAGTCGAACTCACAACCTCTGGGTTACATGCCCAACGCTCTGCCAATTGAGCTAACGGGTCATCCGTCGATCAATCGGCAGGAAGGTCGAGTTCTCATCACACACCAGACGGCAGAATCCCTTCCAATCTCCGAAGTCACTAGAAATCACCATATTTCCCCCTTCGTCCTCTGGCATTGTCTTTCCTTGTATACGGAAATGTCCGAAGGCAATCATACATAGGAGTCAAGTCATAATGTTTTTCGCTTACTCAACCGAAAAGATACATATATTATAATGATAAAGATGGAAAGCCCTAATTTCGAGTGATAATGGAAGAGGTCGACCTCCCTGTCGATTGATCGACGGATGTCCCGTTAGCTCAATTGGCAGAGCGTGGGGCATGTAACCCAGAGGTTGTGAGTTCGACTCTCACACGGGGCGGTGGAGTTTTTTCATTTTCCATTGTCACTCGAAATTAGGGCTTTCCATCTACATCATTATATGTATCTTTTCGGTTGGGTACAGAGGCGGACTGGGGGGCCGGGCGGTCGGGCGATCGCCTGATGGGCTGGTGCCCTTTGGGGCCGGTAGAAATAGTGAATGAATAAAGAAATATATGTTTTCTCGACAGCTTTCTGAAGTATGAGACCATTATAACTGCAATTTTGATTAGAGAAATCTTCAGTTTCACCACTCCTCTTTCGAGCTATAACTACGAATATCAGGTACCAATGGATATTTTAGAAAAGTACCAAATCGTCGAAAAAACCATGAAATCCTTTAAAAAATATCGCGAGAATATAATGTAATTTTGATTGATGCACATACATTCATTGATAAAACAAATGAACTATTTATTTTCAAAGAACACGAAATGAAAACAGTTTTTGTGATGAGATAGGTGATGATGAAGCACCTCAAAATCCCATCAAAATTGGGACTTTCAATGTAATCATTGATAATTATTATCACCGCACTGGAATTTAGATTCAAGAAACATAAAGAATTGTTTCATGATTTTGGACTGTTTAATCTGTCAAGATTAACTGATGGTCAAATAATATTGACTGAAAACTCAATAAGGATGATTTATGAAAATATCAAAAATTATTATCCTGCTGATGAAATAAGCCTTGATAGATTTCACCTCGAAGTGAGAAGACTGTCGAGTACTTTATCCGAAGATATGATATGGGTGGTAGAACTTATGTCTTCGATGTAGAAGAGGAATTGATTTCATAAAAACAGAAGTTTCGCAAAACATTTTCACTTTGTTGCTTCCATGGTTTGCACAAATACAATTTGAACGTCGAGATCTATCCATATTTAGATAAAATTATTCTCACTCTTTCAGTATCGCAGGTTTCGTGTGAAAGATCTTTCTCAAAATTGAAATTCATCTTGATTAGGCTAAGAAATTATCTGAACCAAAGAACATTTGGGGGCTTTCATGATGATGAGCTGCGAAATAACGATTTTACAATCAGGAAGCGACGATATCATATTCGATTTCGTTGAAAAATGTGGATCCATGAGAGGTTCACTCGTTTTTTAATTTCGATTCCTAATGCGGCTTATGTTTCATTTTGGATAAATAATCTTCCTAGTCTACCATACAGTTATCGTTCATTCTATCTATCCTTATTTTTCATTTATAAAATGTTATTCATGTTATACATTTCATTTTCCTTCAGTATATTTGATGTTTTATCGAACAATCTTTTCGCTTAAGTTTGATTGGAATGAAAATAATTTGTAATTTTTTTTTCGTTTTTGTCTATGTCACTAAAATATGTAAGGAAATTATATGAATAGCTATATTAGCTTTGACATTTTCTCCGGAGATGGGCCGGTAGGGTTCAATTCGCCGAGGCCGATTCAAAGGTCCAGTCCGCCCCTGGTTGGGTAACGGACAAAAATTATGTGACTTGACTCCTATGTTCAAATAATTGACTCCTATCAATTTATATGTACAGTCGTATTCAATAAAAAAGCGTACAAGTATTAAAAAGAGAGGATTTCGGGAACCTAGTTCTAGTTGTGTAAAAGTGGCTCAGCCAATGCTTTGTGTTTTCTAGAACCTATGACAACTTTACTGTCAACATTTGGTGAACAATCATTCCCGATAGCCCGTTTTATGCAGAATAGGATGATGTTAATTTCTCTCTGTAATATACTTGTAAGTTTTTTCTTCGAATGCGACTGTACATCAAAATTAATGTTAATTAACAATAATTATATGAATTGGGCAAATACCGACTCTCCACCGCAACCCCAGATGTATCAATTTTTCAACTAACTCAAAAAGATACATCTTCACAAGAATACAAAAACCTGAGAAAGGAAAATATTCAGGCTATTACTAGTCAAATTCTTCCAATAATGGCACATTTTTTCATTTGAAAAACAAAGGAAAACTTGAATGATAAATAATATATCAGCAGTTAAATCACAGTAAAATTGCTATATTTAAGAGGATGATCTCAAAATCAAAAATAAAATGGTAATAGATTGTAGAGTGTCTAGCAGATCTGAGACTGTGACTGTACCCTTTCAGTGAATGAGTGCAGACATATTTTTTAGAGAAACCCAAACAGTAGCATATCATTGAAGACATATTATTTTGTTTGATGTACAGGGTGTCCGAAAAAATGCGAAAGATCTCTCAGATTCAGATAGTACCTGAAAAAATAAGATGACAAGTTCCTATAAACATTGGCCATGAGATGCTTCATTTGCGAGATTTGAATGAAAAATTGGACTTAATTAATTCATTCACTAAAAAACCACTTGACAAAAATATGTGATATTATAGTGATATACTGAGTATCTGTAATCAAACATGTTTGTGGTATTTGAATAAGAGTTGGTGATGTAACACTTCATTGCAATTTCAATATGAATTACATTTGCTGTAAAGTTTGAATAGAGGAATTTCAAACATTATGAATTTCAACCTGGTATTTTCAATGTAATTTTGCATCATCTAAACATTACAATTTGAAATTTCAATCAGTGTGAACAAGATTGTTGTCTCTATTTGGATAAAATGGTAATCATGCCTGATAAACATTGTGTAGCTACTTCTTCAATTCTTGGCTGGGTATAAAACATTGTCAGGATTCAGGAAGGAAGATTGGAAGATTCGAAAAGCCTTTATCTAAGTGAAAACCATATGTCCTTGTTTTGCAAAACATATTTGTGGTTTGTGGTTATGCATAACTATTACTGCTTGCCAAATTTCCATACTCTAAATATACAAAAACACTCTACCCAATGTCTAGCTCTATGTCAAACAAATAGCTAGTAGGTTAGATTCTCTTCAATGTGTAAAATGGAAGTGAAATATACATACTTGTTTTTGGTAACTCTTCACCCAGAATCCATCCAGATATTGCAGTAAAAACAAAAGTCAGTGAATTTGCAACAGGAACTGATAATGTTAGATCCACATTTTGCAAAGTAATGAAATATAAAACTGACCCAACCTGATTCAATGCGATCGGTACCAAGTACTAAAAACATGACAATAATATGGGGTTCTCGTTTTATCAAATAGATTGATCATTCAAGCAGAAGGTACAATCCAAGAAAATTCAAATATACATACCTACCTAGACGAAAATGGAACATACAACATACCTCAATGTGAGTGGCCAACATTTTCACATCTAGAAGAAACTGCATCAATGTTGAATCAGCATTAACTTTTTTTAAACCCTTGGATCTTTTCTTGATCAAAGGATTCGTGACTCCCCATAAAACTCCAACAAGAATCAAAGAAACTGGAAAATAATAGTACATATGAACTATCCACAATATTATGAAATCACAAAAAATACAAACTTATGTGCATAAGCATATTCAAATGACATGTTGGGAATATGTTGGGTATGAAAATTAATATAAATATAAATGCATTTCAAAATTTTAAATCTTTTCTATTTATTTTTTTTGTTATCGTCACTAGTTCATCTAGTTGCGTTTTATTTGACGGATTCCGATTCCGCCACCAGAATTACTAGGCCTGTTCCTTTCCTATGAAAGTGTGACACTGAACTACACTCTTTCCAAAATAGCGTTCCTTTTCTTCAGTGTGTTAATTTTTCCACTACACCATGTCGTTCCTTTGTAACGGTGTAATTACACCGGTGTAGGATATCTCCACCGAGACTATAGACGGTGCAATGACGGCTAAATGGACTGTCTGACGGGTTATACATGACTGTTCATTCAGCGAAAATCGCCAAATCGCCCTGTAATGAAATTTTGATGGGACGGCAAGTGGCGTCATCTATTTCCTGTGTCAAATGAGCTATTCAACATAACCTGCATTCATGATCCTGCATTATTTGTTGACAAATTTTCTTACTGTCAGCCTGTCACTCATTGTCACTCGAGATTGGCGAGCTTTGTTCGAGATACCAAGTAAAACTGTGAAAAGGCCAACAAAATGAAGTGGTTAGGAGTGTTCATGCCAAATAACGGTATTATATGCATAAATAATAATGCCATTCAAGTGGAAATCATCTTCGTCAATTCGTGAATAGGTAAGGACATGTTCAAGTATTTCATTGATTGAATTTTTAACTGCCTAATAAGAGCCATGGTAGCCCTAATAACCAGATACTGCTGTATTCTCAAAGTGGAATGTACTGCAACATTTCATATTGTTTCACAAAATCTGTGATCTCAAGTGATATTTCTCAATTTGTATTTTCAGGAAGATACTCAATTTTCTCAACACAATGTTGAAGCAGCTGTTCATGGGGTTTGATTGAATGATGACTGGAGACATTCAATTCTGATGATGCTATCTATGCATAACCAGAATATTTACTATATAAGGTGAGCTTTGTGAACAATTGTTTAATTAGGTGAGGGTTCAGAAAAATAATCAGGCATTTCAACTACAATATCAAGTATCTCCATGAATAGCAAATTAAATATCAATTTATCATTTTATACTTATATATTTCATATCAGATATACAGATGAATTGTATTGCAAAATTGATAGAACTATGCCAGCTTCAAAATCATTAAATGTTCTATAGCAACATTTCTTTATAGGTTCTGGGGATGGCAACACAATGAATATAAAACGGCTTGGATATGGGATCTTGACTTTGGAGGATGAAGCTAGGTTACCTGGAGATCCTTTGGACACTGGAAATAAAAGAGGAAGATGATATATCATTGTGTATCCCACAATTTCTATTATCTGTTCAGAAATCAGCTGAGAAGAAGCATGTTTTGAGTTCAAATATAAGCTCATCATCAGCTAATTTAATGGAAAAGGAAATTGTTTATTATGGTGACTGTCTATGGAATAAAATTATTATATTACTTGAATAAATGCTTTCTATACATATCATCTATCTATCTATCAATCCATATTTTTCAACCATTTTCAAAACTTTGTGGAGAGAGAAATAGTTATATGCATTTCAAAAGTTGAGTTTGTACTCTTTTCATCTTTTTAGATCTACTTGGGGAAGCTATAGTTAGTGGGCTAGTAGGTATCAGTGACAACATTTTACCTTATTTCACATACCATCTCATACTTCTATCAAGAAAACAAGAAAGCTATACAGAATCTCATTGATAGATGGGCATACATAATACATAAGCTTAGGCCAAATAATTAATTTAAATTTTTTGTGACAAAATCATCACAGCAGTGAAAAACATTTTTGAAAATCTCTGATAGTATCATTATTCTGTGATATTTGCCAGGAAGCAGGAACACAAAATACCTCAAATTGTAGTTGTGGCACTCAAAAAAACTCCAGATGTTGGCCTAGACTGATGATTCTCTGGGATTCAAAGAGCATACCTTAAATTCCATTCCTCTTTCATTCTTGGTGTTGCTTTTTGGGATGCCCATCCTGTAGGTATATGGTAATTTGAGTTTGAATACGTTGCATTGATGGCTTGAACCATCAGGCTCACATGAAACATTTTTCAACAATACTACTCCTACCCTACCTAGCTATGCAACAACAATGCATCAGACTAAACATACCTTGAAAATTATGGTAAGCGATCCTTTCTGAATGTATGTCCCCATTCTGATAAGTCGCCATATGTAGTGCTATATTGATCATCACTCTTAGTGTCTTCCAAAATCATTGACACAAACTTCAACACCAGAATTAACACCAGTGTTATAATGGTGGAATCGAGGCTGAAATTTAAAATCATCAGAAAAGTGTACATGAAAAATCATATTCTTACCAATGCCTTCCAAAATAAAATTCGACCATTCTTGCTGTGGAGTTTATCACTGGGTATGAGATTCGAAAAAGCAAACCCCATATTTGATACGATTATTCATACATTTCATTTCATATGCTAGAAGGCTGTAAATACATGATGAAGACACACTAGCAGAACTAAACACAAAGAAGAATGCTTGATTGAATGAAAATCCGAAAAAGTAAAGGAATTTATCGATATTCAACAGAACACATCAGGGACCTGACAGTGACACAGTTTTGACACTTGATAAAATAATAATAATTCAATATAACCTATGTTATTGGAAAACAACCGAATAAGAGCTAAACAAATGACTTCTCCGCAAAGGACGGCAAGTAAACCCCTCTGGTGGAGAATACACTGAACTGAGTGATTGGACAGTCATGTAGTACTCGTCAGACAGTCCATTTAGCCGTCATTGAGACGGTGCAATGACGGCTAAATGGACTGTCTGACGGGTTATACATGACTGTTCATTCAGCGAAAATCGCCAAATCGCCCTGTAATCAAATTTTGAAGGGACGGCAAGTGGCGTCATCTATTTCCTGTGTCAAATGAGCTATTCAACATAACCTGCATTCATGATCCTGCATTATTTGTTGACAAATTTTCTCACTGTCAGCCTGTCACTCATTGTCACTCGAGATTGGAGAGCTTTGTTTGGCTTTGTTCTAGCGTTGGTTCTAGATACCAAGTGAAACTGTGAAAAGGCCAAAAAAATGAAGTGGTTATAGGAGTGTTCATGCCAAATAACGCTATTATATGCATAAATAAAAATGCCATTCAAGTGTAAAGCATCTTCGTCAATTCGTGAATAGGTAAGGACATGTTCAATTATTTCATTGATTGAATTTAACTGCCTAATAAGAGCCATGGTAGTCCTAATTACCAGATACTGCTGTATTCTCAAAGTGAAATGTACTGCAACATTTCATATTGTTTCACAAAATATGTGATCTCAAGTGATATTTCTTAATTTGTATTTTCAGGAAGATACTGAATTTTCTCAACACAATGTTGAAGCAGCTGCTCATCATGAGGTTTGATTGAATGATGACTGGAGACATTCAATTCTGATGATGCTATCTATGCATAACCAGAATATTTACTATAAGGTGAGCTTTGTGAATAGTTGTTTAATTAGGTAATGGTTCAGAAAAATAATCAGGCATTTTAACTACAATATCAGGTATCTCCATGAATAGCAAATTAAATATCAATTTATCATTTCATACTTATATATTTCATATCAGATATACAGATAAATTGTATTGCAAAATTGATAGAACTATGCCAGCTTCAAAATCATTAAATGTTCTATAGCAACATTTCTTTATAGGTTCTGGGGATGGCAACACAATGAATATAAAACGGCTTGGATATGGGATCTTGACTTTGGAGGATGAAGCTAGGTTACCTGGAGATCCTTTGGACACTGAAAATAAAAGAGAAAGATGATAAATTATTGTGTATCCCACAATTTCTATTATCTGTTCAGAAATCAGCAGAGAAGAAGCATGTTTTGAGTTCAAATATATGCTCATCATCAGCTAATTTAATGGAAAAGGAAATTGTTTATTATGGTGACTGTCTATGGAATAAAATTATTATATTACTTGAATAAATGATTTCTATACATATCATCTATCTATCTATCAATCCATATTTTTCAACCATCTTCAAACTTTGTGGAGACAGAAATAGTTATATGCATTTCAAAAGTTGAGTTTGCACTCTTTTCATCTTTTTAGATCTACTTGGGGAAGCTATTAGTTAGTGGGCTAGTATCAGTGACAACATTTTACCTTATTTCACATACCATCTCATACTTCTAGCAAGAAAACAAGAAAGCTATACAGGATCTCATTGATAGATGGGCATACATAATACATAAACTTAGGCCAAATAATTAATTTAAATTTTTTGTGACAAAATCATCACAGCAGTGAAAAACATTTTTGCAAATCTCTTATAGTATCATTATTCTGTGATATTTGACAGGAAGCAAGAAAACAAAATACCTCAAATTGTAGTTGTGGCACTCGAAAAAACTCCAGATGTTGGCCTAGACTGATGATTCTCTGGGATTCAAAGAGCATACCTCAAATTCCATTCCTCTTTCATTCTTGGTGTTGCTTTTTGGGATGCCCATATCCTGTAGGTATATATGGTAATTTAAGTTTGAATACGTTGCATTGACGGCTTTTCTGAATGTATGTCCCGATCCTGATAAGTCGCCATATGTAGTGCTATTGATCATCACTCTATAAGTGTCTTCCAAAATCATTGACACAAACTTCAACACCAGAATTAACACCAGTGTTCTAATGGTGAAATCGAGGCTGAAATTGAAAATCATCAGAAAAGTGTACATGAAAAATCATATTCTTACCAATGCCTTCCAAAATAAAATTCGACCATTCTTGCTGTGGAGTTTATCACTGGGTATGAGCACTACATTTCATTTCATACGCTAGAAGGCTGTAAATACATGATGAAGACACAACTAGCGAACCTGAATAAATAAACTACCAGAACTAAACACAAAGAAGAATGCTTGATTGAATGAAAATCCGAAAAAGTAAAGGAATTTATCGATATTCAACAGAACACATCAGGGACCTGACAGTGACACAGTTTTGACACTTGATAAAATAATAATAATTCAATATAACCTATGTTATTGGAAAACAACCGAAAAAGAGCTAAACAAATGACTTCTCCGCAAAGGACGGCAAGTAAACCCCTCTGGTGGAGAATACACTGAACTGAGTGATTGGACAGTCATGTAGATGTAGTACTCGTCAGACAGTCCATTTAGCCGTCATTGGACGGTGTGAAATACACTGACAGATGTTGAATCGTTAGTTTTGATATAAGTAGCGAATCAGAGTGAAATCTAAAGAACTATAAATTATTATTCATTTTATAACAAAGAAATTCCGTATAAACGGTATACCTACAAGTGGATCTGCGTGAAACTGAAAAACTAATCTTTCATAAATTGAAATTCGGTTAGTACTTATTCTTGACAACTGTACAGCCCACTTCATCATGGAATTTTTTGAGAAGGCCTACATGGAAAAGAGACTGTAGCAGTTTGAAATTCTCCTTGCTAATTTTGAATGACTAGATTGACAGGCAAAGATGGTAATTTTTCAAGTACACTTAAATCATAGGCCTCCAAAGGCTGTGACTTGATGAAAATAGGTAGGCAAGTTCATAAAGTTTTGGTAAATGAATCAAAACTGGTGCTAAGAATACTGAACAACTTCTTCACAGGCGATGTAGGCACATCGCACATCACATCGAAATTAGATGATAGTCAGAATACCAGAATACTGGGCCTGTTATTATTTATTATTGATGAGGGCCCAGCCCAGTAACATCATCATGGACAGTAAATACCACAAAATAATTGTTTTGTTATGCTTTGACCGAGAATATTACCTTGAGTGAGAAAAAAAAATGTTAATTATTTATTTATTTATTTATTTATTAAATAGGCCGCCAGACAGGTAGTTATACCCAATAATGAGGCGGCACACTTACAGGTACACATATAAAATTTATGAAAGCATGAGTAACACATAATTAATATCAAATCACTAATCTAAATCAACTAATACTAAAAAAAAGCTACCAACAAAACAAAAATAATCAAGAATTTCACTCACGAATGTATGGTGAATTTTGTTTTAATAATTTTTCTAAACTGGTTAATTTTGAGGTGGAAAATATCAAGTTGATAATCCACTGATTTTGCTGTGAACCGATTATGCGTGAGGCAGCATCGGATCATTGGAGAATTTAAGGTATAATTTGTTAAATGAGTACTTACAATGAAGGTTCCTCTATTTCGCATGATAAAAGAAGTGCAATTGAATGAGATGAAACGTAAACAATAGTCGGAATCAATCAATCCATTAACAATTTTGTAAATGAAACATAGATCGAAATAAATTCTTCTATCTTGAAGCAGTTCAATATTATAGAGCCGTAAATTTGATTCATAATCAGAGAAGTGTTGTTGCCTATGAAATCTATAATTGAGTGAATTAATGAGTTTTTTTTGAACACGTTCAATCTGTGATACATATTTTTCATAGAATGGGTTCCATACTGTTGTGCAATATTCTAATATAGGTCGTACAAGAGTGTTGAATAACATTATGATAGAGCTAACATTGTTAAAATAAAGCCAAGTGTCCTCATTGCTCTTTTAACCATACTCTCAATATGTTTCTGAAATGTCAATTTTCCGTCCAATAACAGACCTAGATCCTTCACAGAGTCTACAAATCGGATTGACACGTCATCAATAAACAGGTTGGTAGTATTGGGTGCTATAACATGAGAAAATAGTATTGCGTGACATTTATCCGGATTAACAATGAATTTATGACGCCTGCAGTAGTCAGAGAAACGATTCAAATCTGATTGCAATTTAATGTAGTCGTCAATGCCCCTAATGGTCCTGAAGATTTTCAGATCATCTGCATAAAGACTATATTCAGAGAAATGAAAACAATTGCCAATATCAAAAAGAAAAATTGAGAATAACAGGGGTCCCAAATGTGAGCCTTGAGGTACGCCTGAAGTTACATCAATTAAGAACGATCGACTGTTATTCAGAGCAACATATTGTTTTCTATCACTTAGGTATGAAGCGAGTAGGGTCAGCAGTGTTCCATGCACACCAAAATTCCCCAGCTTTACGATAAGAGTTGCATGGTGCACTCTATCGAATGCCTTGGAGAAATCGGTATACACAGAACAAACCGACATACTCGCCTCCATTCTTTGAAATATATCCTGGACGTATGGAACTAAATTTGATAACACTGATCTTTTTTTGAAAAATCCGTGTTGATTAATAGGAAGTAAATGTTTTGCCTTGAAGAACAGTTCTTGTGTGATTAAGTTTTCAAAAACTTTCCCAAAATGGTCGAGGAGTGATATCGGACGATAGTTTGATACGTTTTTCTTATCTCCCGCTTTGAAAATAGGAATTATTTGAGCAAGTTTCCACTTAGTAGGATATACCCCTGTCCTCAAGCTCTTATTATAAATGATGAATAAAGGTTGTGCCAAGCTGTCACAACATCGTTTCAAAAATATAGCCGGAATGCCATCCGGTCCTGGACCTTTCTTAATATCCAGAGAATTCAACCCATTTTTTATTTGTTCTTTGTCGATATAATCAATTATAATTGGGAGATTATTTGTTATGATGTCTGTATCAATATCAGAAAAAGAGGTGTTATCAATATATACGCTGCCAAAGTATTTAGCAAAGAGATTACATATGGCATTATTATCATTAGCGTGTTCATCATTAAATTCCATGTTTTGTGGTGTGTGTTTGCTACTTTTTTTGTTCGAGACAAACGACCAAAAATGTTTGATGTTCTCTTTCATATTGGATTCTGTTCTCTCGACATAACATTTATAGTCATTCCTTATGAGCTTTTTAACATCGCGCCTGAGGTGTGAAAATGTATTGTAATCTTGAATGTTATTATGTTTTTTCCATCTCTTATGAATTTTTTCTTTCTCTTTCAATTTAATTCTTGTTTCTCTTGAGAACCATATAGGATAGTTTCTATTACAAATTCTTCTTTTAGGGATGGATTGTTCAGTTACTTCATTCAATATTGTGTAGAATACTTCAATATCTTCATTGACATCATCATTTTTCAAGATATTAATCCAGTCTATACTATTCAAAAAGTCGTTAATTAACTGATAATCAGCCGCGGAGAAGTTAATCTTTGTATACGGTTGTTTATGGATGAATTTAATATCTTTTGTAGGAATTGAAGTTTCCAAGGCCGGATGGTGTCTATCTTCAGGAACCAAGGGGTTTTGACTATGAATGACAGTATTTAAAGTTCCATTGGAGAAAATTAAATCTAAGCATCTCCCATTAACATTGCAAATATTAGAATACTGTTTCAATCCACAAAAACTAATCGTTTCAACAAAGTACTGAGATAAATTATCAACAGCATTGGTAGGAGTATAAGAAACATTATCTGAACTCATTGTCCAAATAATATTCGGAAAATTGAAATCACCAACTAAAATGAATTGCTGATCAATGTGATTGGAGCTTATGTTTTCATATTTGGTGAAAAATAATGATAAATCATTCAAGGATGTATATGGAGGGGCATAAATACAACAGATAAAAATTTTCTTACCACCCCCCAATGCTATAGATATCCAAATGTTCTCTACAATTCCATCAATATGCCATTGAGAAACACTTTCACACTGAATTTCAGCCTTTACCCCAATCATAACACCCCCACCATCACTTTTAACATCACTTGCTCGATCCTTTCTGAAGATTGTATATTGCTCCGGAAACAGCTCCATGTCCAAAATTTCATTTTTAAGCCACGTTTCTGTTATACAAATAATATCAAACTCCATAGAAGAAATAGCTTGATAAAAATCATTAGTTTTCGTTCGAAGTCCATTTACATTCTGATAGTAAACTTTGAGATCCATTGTATGATGAACAAAATAAATGGTATTGGTGTAAAGTGAAGGTCACTTATTTAATTCAATAATTTATCGATCGTAGATTCATTGATCACCTGTATAATACGACTTGTGGTATTTTTCCTGACAAAGATTTTCGAATCTTTAATCCAACAAAACTGGAAATTATTATTCTTGCAAAAATCTCTGGTTTTCTTGTGTAAGAATTTATTCGCGGGTGAGAGATGGTCACTTATGAATATCTTTCTGTTTTCCAGTGTAGTATCAATTTGATCAGCAGTAATAATATTCGAACTCTTATTATTTAGCCTAACAGCATTCATAAATGAGTTTTTGATCTTCATATTGGAAAATGACACAACAATACCTCGGCAAGTTTTAGGGTCTTTCACGTCATTATCACGGTTGTAGGGAGACACCCGGTGGGCGGTCTGAATGTCGTTTTTGTTAACAATGCAGTTTATGGACTTTGCAATGCTTATTACAATATCAATCAGATTCTCATTTTTCTGTTCAGGAAAACCCCGGATTTCGGAATTCAATAATCTTCCTTGTTGTTGTAACCATTCAATGTCGGTCCGAAGCTGGACATTTTCTGCTCTAAGTTTCTGAATATCATTTTGAATAACATCCACAGTTTTCACAGTATCATCGAAAGTCTCCATTTTCTTGGAAAAATCATCAATTTTGTCACTGAAGAACTGAAGTGATTTAACTATTTCGCAATTTTGTGATTTAACCTGGCTCAGGTCATTAGATAACATGTTCATTTTCTGCAGAAGCTGATCAAACTGCGTTATCGATAATACCGACTCGCTGCCTGAATTCAAACACTTCTCGCAATTCCAAGTTAGTCCTGCATTCTGCGGTACGTCGGCGATAGTACTCGGGAGTTTAGCACATTTCAGGTGAAACAGTTTTCGGCACGGGCCCCGACAGGTAATACCTGGGTTTGACCGCGTGATGGCGGTAGTACATATTACACAGGGATCCGGCATAGCTTCTTGTTGCTGTACAGCAGATAGATTAGAAACAAGAAGAAGGCTATGTGGGAAGTTATTACTTCAAAAATTAAATTCTCTATGCTATTTTCAGGTTTTGTCTCCACAGCGCCAACACGATCTCCACTTTCCTGTTCCTCTAAAATCCCAACACTCATCTACACTATCGAATCAGCTGGTTTTCAGTGGTGGTGTAAATTACACTACACTGAATGCAAAGGAACAAAGCTAACTTATAGCGAATTCCATTCGTAAACCTGGTGGTGCACTGGTTTTGCACCAGTTTTGCACCCGCAATGTTCTCTCCAAAATGTGAGCTGGTGCATTCCCAATGGAATACGAAATAATATAATAAAATTTTATTGTTGGAGGTTAAATCGGATAAATTTGTTTGTCTTTGTTTATAACTTGTCAGCATCCTGAAATTCTTTCTCGACTTCAATTAAGAACAAAGTAAATGTTTCATGGAAATAATTTTGAGCAGTTTTTTTAATAAGTACCTCTTCATCATTGAATTATAGTGCAAAACACTAAACAAAATTATGAATTCTGGGAAGTAATCTCTCTTATTTTCTTGAAACCTCCAAATTTTCATCACTACTTGATTATGATGATTAGATTGTCACTCATTTTTTGTTTTTAAACCATGCATATTCAATGTTTCCGCCATTTTCAAAACTGCACTGACTTCGCACGACCTATTAGAGCTCGTGCGAGAATTGTTGCACGAGCTCTAAACTATGCGACCAGTTTTCCAATGGAATTCAAAATCCGACACCAGTTTGACCAATGGAATACAAAATATGCATTCAGTGCGAACCAGTTTTACCAATGGAATTCGCTATTAATGTGTCATTTTATTTGCAACTTTTCCGATTCCGGTTGCTACTTTTCATTCCGTCTCACTGCAAGGAATGACTTAACAGTTGTCAAAAAATTAAATTAGTTTGACGAAAGACGAAACTTTTTGAAAGTGGAAGACATATAGAAGACATTTTTATCGAGAGGTCACAAGTTTATGATTCTTTCAAGTAAGACAGGTTCCATATGTTCCCAGATAAAATAAATTCTCCTCGGAATTCTCTCGATCTCTGAGAAGTTCCTTCATCATCTATAATATGTCAAGTTTCTCGTTTTATTTGTAAACTTCATTTCGTTCCCACCACCGCTACCAGAGTGGAACAAATAAAACGCAACTATTGTCACTCTTGTCTCTTGTCAATTTGAAATTTGAACCACCACCGTAGAGCAAAAATATCTGCACGTATTCGAAACGCCCCGATAACAGGCATAGGCAAGCTTTTAGACCAATCACAACGTTGAGTTTCACGCGTGCGTGTTTCAATTCAGAATAAATATCTCATCAATTCGAAATGGTTTGAATTTTGAATTATTGTGACTGTTATCTCAAGAATGCAAGGAATATCACTGGTGTGATGAAGCGATGAGGTGTCAGATACGTGAGATACGTAACAGACAGAGAGACCATTGTCATTGTCGAAGCGCTCTCGGTCGGGATTACTTGTTTGTTATTGTATATTAATATTTTGTTGAATATAGTTTCGGGTTTCATAAGTTATTTTATTTTGGTTTTGTGGTGGCCGTGTAGTTTACAGTTCAGGTGTTGGGGTGAACATTCATAGTCGACTCTGGAATTTCCGACTGTTACGTCAACGTGTACCGTATACGAAAATGCCTAGAAAACACAAAAGTTCTACAAGTGATTCAAGTGATTCGAGTGATTCTTCTGATAGCTCTCGTGATGGTAGATACAAGGGATCATCAAATAGAAAAGCATCCAGGAAGAAGAACGATCGTGTCCCAGAAAAGAGATTACAACAAATGCCTGCAGACGAAGGTGGATCAAAAAGAAAAAGATACAGTGACATTTCCACTACAAGACGACGTTCTGGAAGTCCACCAGAAATTATCGTGCATGTACCAGCAGAAGTTGATAATCATAATAGTCCACGTATTATCGATCAAGCTTCAACAAGTTCAGTAGAATCGAGAGTGGATCGCATCGAACATTTGTTAGAATTGATAGTGCGACAAGGTACACAGCCAGAAAGTAGACGTCTTTCTGTCCGGAGTGACTGCATTCCTGAATTCAACCCGGAGAATGAAAACTTATCAGCATTGAAGTGGTTGGATAAAATTGATCAGCTGAAAAATGTGAATAACTGGGATGACATCACAACTATTTATCATATGCAATCAAGATTGTCGGGGATGGCGAGGACTTGGTACCATAGCTTAACGAGCTATCCTGGTACGTGGCCCGAATGGAAAGTCTTGATCATCAAAACCTTTCCAGATCATGTCGACTACGCAATGGTGTTACGAAAAATGCTAGACAGGGTGAAACAGTCAGACGAGACGATGACCACATATTACTTCAGCAAAATGGAATTGCTGCGAACGAGCCAAATATCTGGCAGACATGCAGTGTCATGCCTCATTGACGGAATCACCGATGTTACGATTCAAAATGGTGCCCGAGCAGGTCGTTACGCAACACCTGAGGCACTGTATGAAGAATACCTTTCGATGCTTCGTGATGGTAAATCATGTACAGCTAAGCAGACCCGAGTCGAAAATGTCTCTAAGCGACCTTCAAGAACCGATTTGAGATATTCTCTCGGTTCAAAAAGTCTCCTAGGAAATCGGAAACCGGACATCAAGGACGTACAATGTTTCAATTGCAAGATGCGCGGACACTTCCAGTCGAATTGCCCTAAAAAACGTCTGGAATGCGGAAAGTGCCATTTATTAGGTCACGAGTCAGATAAATGCACTGTAGGGTCTCAGTCAGGCACCTGGAAGGGCAAAAACCGGCAAGCTGAAGGTAAGTCCACGCATGTTTTACAGCTCTCGAACATTTGTGGGAATTCTGATTCGAACACTTGCTATTTCATTGATTGTGTCATCAATGGGGAACCTTTACGGGGTTATGTTGACTCAGGCTGTGCCGCTGTGACTATAAAAGTTTCGGAAGTTAAAAGGTTGGGTTTGCAATGCGAAACTGCTATGGTTCGTTTACGTGGTTACGGAGGCGGTTCGGTTTGCGTCGATGCCAAGGTTTCAATAATTTTGGAGGTTGATTTGGCATCAGCTAAGGTCGAAGCCTTAGTTGTCCCTGATTCAGCTCAAAATGTATCCGTCATCGTGGGACAACCGTTTATAAATAACGAGAACGTAATGGTTGTCGTCCATGGAAACCAAATACGATTATTCAATCATAATCCAAACCATTTGACAACAATGAATCAATTGCCTTCCAGAAAAATCAGTCTTTTCGCTGAAGAGAGGACTGTTATTCCTCCTTTCCAGATGGGTCTCATTGCAACTTATAGTACCGAACATTTTGAGGATGTTTTTATCGACTTACAATACAGGGACTGGCCTACCAAGTTCCACATAATACCTAGGTGTGTCATTAATGTGAACCAAGGTGGTTGTTTACCTATTATCAATTCTTCAGGTGGTGAAATTTGTTACGAAAGAGGTGAAGTAATTGCCAGAGGTTATACGTGCTCTGAGGATTCTAATATTAAATCTTTTCAGTGTCTGAAAATGGAAGTTAAGAATTTCCAGCATTTCAACCTGAATGATATTGAGAAACAGCTCAGTCCGGAACTGAGTACTCTTGAACGAAACGATATTTTGAAACTCCTCAATAAATACCGGGATTGTTTCGCTACGTCACTAGATGAAGTTGGTAAGACAGATGTTACGAAAATGTCCATTACACTCAGTGATGATACACCTGTTACCTACCGCCCATACCGAATGGCTTTCACGGAACGGGACAGGGTAAGGAATATAGTACAGGGTTTGCTTGATAATGATATTGTTCGTGAGTCTAACTCACCATATGCAAGTCCTATTCTACTGGTTAAGAAAAAGAATGGAGAGGAACGAATGTGTGTTGACTACAGAGCTCTCAATAGGAAAACCATCAAGGATAAATATCCACTACCACGAATTGATGATTTATTGGACTCTCTCAAGGACAATGAGTACTTCACCAGTTTGGATTTGGCTTCAGGTTACCATCAGATTGCTCTGGAGGCAGAATCAGTTCCAAAGACAGCATTTGTTACTCCAGATGGGCAGTATGAGTATTTGAGAATGCCTTTTGGTTTGGTTAACGCCCCTGCAGTCTTCCAGAGGACCATCAATCGAATACTGGGCCCTCTACGTTTCAATACTGCCATGGCATATCTGGACGATATACTCATTCCATCGAAATCGATCCTCGAAGGCATGGAAAATTTAGAATCCGTGTTGAGGCTATTTCAAGAAGCCGGAATGACTTTGAGGTTGAGTAAGTGTCATTTCCTTCAAAAACGAATTGAGTATTTAGGACATGAAATATCCGGTGAAGGTATTCGACCAGGTGTTGACAAAATCAAAGCCGTATCGGAATTTGCTGAGCCTACAAATGTACATGATGTGAGACGTTTTCTTGGTTTGGCAAGCTATTTCAGGAAATTCATTCCAGGATTTGCTACCATTGCAAAACCGATCTCATGCCTAACTAAGAAAAATTTCAGTTTTGTTTGGGGCAGTGAGCAAAAAGTGGCATTTAGAATGTTGAAGTCTAAACTTACGGAACGCCCTGTACTGGCAATTTATGATAGAGATGCAACGACGGAGGTTCACTGCGATGCTAGCAAAGTTGGGCTAGGTGGTATATTATTGCAAATACAAGGGGAAGGCGTTCTAAAACCAGTTCAGTATTTTAGTCGGGCCACTACGAAAGAGGAACAAAACTACCACTCGTATGAACTAGAAACCTTAGCCCTTGTCAACACTTTGAAGAAATTCAGAATTTACCTCATAGGTATCCGTTTCAAGGTAGTGACCGACTGCAACTCGCTACGGCATACCTTGATGAAAAGGGATCTAGTTCCAAGAATTGCCAGGTGGTGGCTCGCCCTACAAGAATTCGATTTTGAAATTGAATATCGGGCTGGCACCAAGATGGTACA